GAATATATGAACTTGCAGCCCGGGAGTAAACGCGACATTCTTATTTTGACCTAATATGTAAAGCAGCATTGCAGCAGTAATAATTTTTTTTTCCTTTTTCATGTAGATCCTAAGAATAAAAGTGTCAAACTGGATTGGGGGAAGAGGTCCTCTATTTGCATTGGTACTGCTAGGGGCCTTCAATTTCTTCACGAGGAACTTGTTCCACATATTGTGCATAGAGACATCAAGGCTAGTAATATACTCCTTGATGGGGACTTCAATCCGAAAATTGGTGACTTTGGATTAGCCAAACTTTTCCCAGATGATATTACTCACATTAGCACAAGAATTGCCGGAACTACGTACGTCATATTACATGCTTTTATGTCATTTCTCTGTGTTTCCAAATTGACTGTCCTTACTTTTATAATGTTGTTTTCTTAATGCTTATGTCGCACCATACTTCCATATTGAATTTTATTGATTTTTGTAAAAATCATAGGCTGTTGTGGATAAAATTGCCTCAATTTGGTTGTAGGGAGATTGATTTCCATACTTTTTCTCTTGATTAAATATCTACATTTAGTTGGTATGTGTGCGAGTGCGATGTATACACAAATGAAGTAAGAAGGAAAGGAAAAACACCTAGGAACTGGACTCGATAAGGTAACATGTGTAGAAGCAAAGTAGAAAAATGTGAAGCAAATTTGAATAAAAATGCAAGTAAAGATGAAGGGATCAGATCTGGTAGACTCACACTAGCTGCTGATGAATTATGTGAATGTATAATATGAATTTGGAAATGGAATTCAAATAATCACAACAGAGAAAAGGAAATCATTTAGCCTAATATTAGAGCTATCAGCTATTTGGTTGGGGAAAAATAGAGCTTTCCAAAATGTTTGGTGGGGGGGAGGGGGTGAGGTTTTCTGCGATCCTATTGTGTGGGGAGCTTGTGAGTTCTTCCTCAAAAGAGGGTTGTAATTGCTTCCCTCTTTGTTTTTTCCAAATTGAAGTGCTTTTATGTAACTTCTTGGATTTGTTTGTGTATTTAGTTTCTCTATGCTATATCATATTAGTTTGTTATTTGAAAAGCAGTAAAACACCAATTTTCCGGCCAATTCTTTCTTTGTTTGAGGTGAATTTGCCAATTTTTGAGAGTTGTTGACCATTAAAACTTAAAAGTTTAAACTCTTAATTCCTCCAAAGCCGCATCCCTTCACTTAGACATTTTCAGAACATCTTACACATTTTACGAGATCTCGATTTTGGCTAGGTTAGCGATACAGGTGCTTGATATGCCAGGAATAGACTTTTGCAAGATGTAATTGTTAATTGGGATGAATACTCATAGGAATGCCCAAATTGGTAGAGTAAAAATTTGGAGACATAATGGTATGTTCGATGGCTTGAGGATCAAGATCTTAGGAGCCTTGGCAGTGACCAGGAGTGCTAGGAGGCAAGGCTGTCTTTTGCCTATCTAGTTTCTATCTTAGCAGGTTCATAGCCCATGTTTACTTATTACATTATTCCTCAAGAATGCTACACATTCATGGAGCCTTGTTTTGGCATCTTGGATCCTAGTCTTTATCTCATATACTAAGAAAGAATTAGTGAGATTACAACAAACAGTTTCACCCACAGGCCTACAGCATGCCAAATATCTTCAGCAGTTAAAGGGAGGAGATACATTTGACTTGTGTCCTGGCCCATGGCGTTGATAACCTAACACATAATCATTTAGTTTCAGCTTCACATTACCTGTATACAATGTTGCCTCTTCTTTGTATTGAAAATTTTGAGTACCAATCAAGTTACAAATTTTTTCTTCCCCACAGATCATCTTGATATATTGCATCTATCTCAATCTATTCAAGCCATGGAGCTTGTTGAAGCTATTTGGAGTGGTAAGTTATTGGTATTGGTTTAGTGGTTCTGATTTCAGAAATATTTAGCATCTTGAACTTGGCTGACAGTTTTTTTTTTGGGATTCCCCTTCACTAATTCAGATATAGCAAAGATATGTAGTGTAATGGATCTTCTAGGATCTTCTAGGATAGGGACAAAAAGTGTTGGAATTGAGGGCGAAAGAGAAAACTGTGGCCATTAGGTAGAGAAGAAACAGTACAGGATTGGAGGAGATCTGATACCATGAAGAAATTAGTTTCTGTGCTTTTTCTCATAATTAGGACTTCATTCATTTACATAGTTTATACATGACACAGCTATGCAGAATAAGGTAATGCTTTAAAAGGGAAAGCAGGGAAATCATAGCAAGTATGACTAGAAAGGATGGTAAAAGAACCATCATGGGTAGCTCATTGGTTCAAAGGGGCTAGGGTTAATTAAGAGGGAATGGGTTTAAATCCCATGATGGTCAACTACCTTAGGAATTAGTAATTCCTATTTGTTTCATGACACCAAATGTCTAGGGTCAGACGGTTGTCCCGATTTGAAGAATAAATATTATATTTTTGCCCTCAAGGAGCAGCTTTGGCTTGGGGTTTTTTGGTTATACTGACTTAGAGGTCTCAGGTTCAAACCTTCTGGTGAGAACCTGGTAAACGAACAAATAGGTGGTCTTTCCTTAATATCAAAAACTCTTGATGTTTCCCGGGTCTGGGCCTTGTGGCGGGCGCGGGTGCCCATAGGTATAGGGGAGCAAAGCTCTGACTCCCAGTTCTAGAAAAAAAAGAGGAATAAATATTATATTTTTAAAATTCAAGAAATCTGTTGGGTGTAAGTACCCGTTCCTATGAATTAGTGCGCAATAACTAGAACGAAATAAGGACACAGAGAAAAACATATTGGTATGGGCTTGAGCATTTAGGAGCTGGTTGAGAGTACGAGACGTCTGATCTCTTTTGAATAGGGAATTGATGGACGTGCATTTCAACTGGAGTGTTCATCATGTGAAGAAAATCGTCCTCGAAGAAAATAAAGAAAAATCATTAGATGAGTGAATGAAATTACCAACAGGAAGGGAAATGTTACATAGAGTAAAACAAGGGCCACTGGTTTCAGTCGATGATCAATATGACTAGTTTTTATGTTCCACCTTCGGGAGTTAGTAGTACCATCAACACTTAGAAGCATTAAATGCTTTGCTGTGTGAAATATCCTTAACCAGGTTTAATTCAATCTCATTACGTTTTTTGGCTCAGATGTCTTTATTATGCTGGCAGGTCTCAGCATAGGAAGAGCAGAACACATTCATCATTTAATATGTTATGTTGTATTGATGTTCTTAAAAGTATATTCTTAAACAAGAATTGCATGAATAACATTTATTATCCTCTTGGCATATTGTTGTTTGCAGAGGTTATTTGGCTCCGGAGTATGCATTGGGAGGTCAGCTAACGTTGAAGGCTGATGTGTATAGCTTTGGAGTCCTCATACTTGAAATAGTTAGTGGTAGACGTAGCGGTACAGCTTTCGGGGGAGAAATACCAAAACTCTTGCTGGAACGGGTATGCTTGTTCATATCCAAATTTACAGCTTCCTTCTGTTCTTATTTACTAGCCATTTGCGTTATTGGTACTTCACTGCCTTACAATTGCTGTTGGTCTGGGTTTGGGGTACACCATATACCTGATGGTCGTCTAAGACGCTTGAGATTTATGAATTTGTAGATTCTTGTCTTCAGTTTCGAGTTCTTGAACATTGAGTAATTGTGCCATGCCTTAAATCTGCTGAAAGACATGCCAAATAGATGAGTTAGCAATTTTCATTTGGCTAGGACCATGCACTTAACATGATGTCGTTACAAGTTCAGCACAAAATCTTTTTATTTTATTCTCTCTTAAGAAACTCAAATTTTCATTATCAAAAGAGGAGGGGAGGAGGTACAAGATATGGAGACGAGCTATCCCTATCAAGCCAAGGGGATTTAAAAAAGGCTTCCCAGTTGGCCTAACTTTGAGAAAAAGTATAATTACAAAAAACAAATTTGAAAGAGAGCACCAAGTAGAAGCAAAGATTTTTACTAGATCCCAAAGATATCCTTTCGGTTAGTCTCCTCCCCTTGAAAGGTTCTCTTGTTCCTCTCGAGCTATAGCCTCCCTCCACAACAAAGCTGCAAAATCTTGTATTAAAAATTGAAGAATATCAGACACAAGGAGAATTCCATACTTGAATTCTTAGTTCGGAGCATTTTCTTTTCGTATTTCCTTATACGGAATCTCTTTTATTTCCTTACCATCTATCTTGTTGCAACAGGTGTGGGAGTTATACGAAGAAGGTAAACTCTTAGATATAGTGGATCCAAGACTAGGAGACTATCCTCAGGAAGAAGTGGTTAGGTACATGAAGGTGGCTCTTCTCTGCACCCAAGCGGCTGCAAAACGACGGCCAGTGATGAGTCAAGTCCTCGACATGCTTACAAAGAAGATCAAGCTTAACGAGAAGCTACTTACCGCCCCGGGATTCTACGGAGGCTCGGGGCTTAGCGACATTCCTTCTGTAAGCAAGAAGACCTCCAACACTTCCACTAGCAACGAGATTAGCTCTGCTGTTATCTCTATAACTCAAATCACCCCTAGATGAAGAAGATTCAAGTTACCACTTTTGCAGATCATAAAAAGCTGAGTTTCACGGAGATTAGTTAGTCTTCAGTTTGTTTTTGTTGAAGCCTCTCATTGTTAAAATTGGGTAAATATTAGCTTTATTTTGTCTGAGTTGCTCCATATTTAACAGGTTGCAACATCGATTTCAAGGAGATCCTTTATTAACTGTGTTTATTCCATTCTTATGGTTCACAATTGAAATGAATGTTGCAATTACTCTCATCTGTTTCTCACTCTGCTTCAGATCCAGCACTCAAAATAAAAGCTCAGAAAAAAAAAAAAAAAAGAAAAAGAAAAAAGAAGCTCAATAACAGTGCGGAGGAAATAAGAGCTGCTTGGAAGCAGTGTGAAATAATTTTGATTCAGAAAGCTTATTTTAAAATTACTATGATTATATGTGCATTTTATTCGGCTATTTCCAATAAGTATGGTGAGATAGAGATACCCGGGTATTTTAAATTCAGTCTAATATTTTGATTGCAAATTTACATATAAAATTTCCGATCACTTAAACCATTTTTTAATTTTTAATTTATTTTTTTAACGTCATACTCATAATGCAAAAAATATAGAAGAGTAAGTGAGGAAAAAATAAAAATATATAGACAAGTAACTATATTATAAACAGGATTTTTTTTAACTACAAAATAATTTGATTTTACTTGAACTCATTTTAGAAATCATATAAATCAACCTAATTCATATGAGGTTCAAATCAAAACCAATGAAAATAAACCTTATAATAATCCAACTCAACTCGAAGGATTTAGGTTAGATTAATCCAAATTTTGGAGTCAATAAACGTTTTAAAGGCCATATTGAATATTATGAAAATAGCTCAAAGCAAAAACTGTCTAGTTTATAAGACGGAATGACCATATTACCCTCATAATCTCACGCCAATCGGTAGAAGAAGACGTCTTTTAGTTTACATCCAAAATCAAAACCCTGAAATTGGATGAACCAAACAAATTCTATTCTTTAATCATACGATATAGAATTACAGACCGAAAGATTATTGAGTCGAGAGTGTGAGAGCAGACCAGGTCTTCGATTGTTCTCAGTTCCACCAACTCCATCGGTTTTTCTGTTCCCCGGATTTCAAAAGTTCGATTTCCCGAAAAGCCCCTCGCTTTTCTTCAAATGTTACGCTCCAGAGGTAGAAGATAAGCAGCTGAGGTAGCTGATTGTCGTCTGGGATCCAGCAATGATCGTCAGGACTTACGGCCGCCGGAATCGTGGTCTTTCGAGGACTTTCTCCGACTCCTCTAGCGACGCCATTCACGATTCTTTCGGCGACTCTCTTTCTCAGGAAAGTTCTCAGGACCAGCTATTTGGCATCGCCTTCTCCTCCCAAGACTCTTCCACTAGATGGTCCACTTTCGATTCTGAGCCGTACGGCACAAATTCCTCTCAAGGTTCGTTTTCAGCAAAGCCTATAAGGTCTTCTTTTGACGATTCGCTGACCGGAGGCAATAGGAAGTCCAAGAAAGTCAAGATTGACAAAAGGGAACTAGAGGCGTTTAAGAGTTCTCAGCCGGCGATCCCGTCTACATCGACTTTGATGGAAGCCCAGGAGTTCGGGGAGATGATGGAGCACGTAGATGAGGTGAATTTCGCGTTGGACGGGCTTAGGAAGGGTCAGCAAGTTCGGATCAGAAGGGCGAGTTTGATTTCCTTGTTATCTATTTGCAGTACGGCGCAACAGCGGCGGCTTCTACGGACTCATGGGTATGTATAATTTTTATTGGCTTTTGGTTACTCCTAGTCATGGCAGAAAGTTCTTCAAGTTCTTAATTTGTCTCCTAAAGTTTGTGTGATGCTTAATTTTCCTCTACCGCCGTTTTTTTTTGGGTGTATAGTTAATTATTGTTTTTGAAAAGGAAACTGTGTTCCTATATATAAAAAAAAAAGGATTCTGTGTGTATATTTCATTCTTATACTGGGATTTCTTCTTGTTTCTTATCCCCCCAAAAAAAGGGTTTAGAATTTCTCCTAAGACATGAATTATTTTGATTTAGAAAGAATTTCTTTGGTTTGTAGTAAAAGATGTGATAATTGAAAAGGTTAATGTGTACTTAAATTTGAATTTCACCGATAATGTATTAGACACTGGAGAGAAATATCTGCTTATGACTGTTCTAGTCCTCTTTGTACTTTCTCGATTAAGTTGGGTATGGCATCTGCTCGCGATCTACCATTCCACATATAGTTAATCCCCCCAACTCAAAATTTTGGATTTATAGACGAAAATTCTTAGGGTGCCTTTTGCAATATTTATCTGTTGTAGCTTATATATATGTATATTGGAAAAGGAAACAAACCTTTCATTGAAAATATGAAACGGACATAAGAGAAGGCGACCGAAAGGACTTTACAGGAAACTACTCCAATTGGTAGCAACCAAAAAAGTCTTGTAATCTGTAGCCTGTATATAGAATATGAAGAAAATATTTTGAACCTTCAAGTCTCCGACACCGTTTTTTTGTTGAACTTGATATGGGAGGAAACTGCATATGGAGTTGGTTTTTTTTTTGGATATTTGAATTTTCCTTTTACAGTAAAGACTCTCACCCTAAATGGCCGCCTGAGGCACTTTTTGTACTCCAATTCCATGTGGCTTTTCTAGTTGCCCTGGCCCTATAGAATGTATTGCTAGTTTCCTACTTTCCTTATGTTACGATTTATGTTTCTGCTTATCTGAACTCAAACATATTATTTTTAGGATGGCCAAGACAATAGTTGATGCTGTTTTAGGTCTTAGCTTTGATGACTCGGCCAGCAATCTAGCTGCTGCAACTCTTTTTTACATTTTGACGGGCGATGTAAGTGATCTTGCTCTTTAATGTATTGTGTTCTTATTAGTTCTTGAATTCAACCTTTTATGGTTTTTAACATCATGGATCTCTATGCTGGATTGTCAATAATGTTCACTTATTCTACATTAAACTCTCTCAAGCTGCATGCTTTATGATAAGGCTCTCAAACTTTTTCATGTCACAATCTCAGGGTCAAGATGATCACCTTCTGGAATCACCAAATTGTGTTAGTTTTTTAATTAAATTGTTGAAACCAATTGTCTCTATGGCTGCTGAAGTAAAAGCACCGAGAATTGGCCATAAGCTTTTAGTACTTCGAACGGATTCTGATACGTTACAAAGTACAACAAAAAGACTGGATTCCAGTTCTGCTGTAATTTTTTCAAAAGTTGAAGAAATTCTTGTAAGTTGCAAGGAAATAAAATCAAGATGCATTGACTCTGCCACAACAGATAGGCCAGAACTGTGTCCAAAATGGATTGCTTTACTGACTATAGAGAAAGCCTGCTTGACTACCATTTCCCTTGAAGGTAATTCTGATGAAAATACCCTTCTCCATCTAATGTAAAAAATTAATTCATTTTTTCATTGTTTTTAATATAGTGATCAGAATTTCAAGCTTTGATAGGTACTGAGTGAAGCAGTCATTTACCATGATAGATCAAGCCTACCTATTCGGCATGTGAAATCTCTTGACCAATGAGCTTGAATAGAGATAGACGATAAACAATTGTTTAGTTGCCATTTTTGGATTTCCTCCTGCCAGATTTTCAAGGGTTTCTTTTAGATGTTTGATTATGAATGTTCTGTTTGTTAAAAGTTTATTCTATCCTCTAAATAGTTTCAGTATGTGCTCTATTTAATTCGATTAACTCATGTTATTTGATGGTATTATGGATTTGAATCTACAACTTGAATGTTAGACCACCTTGCAATGTGGAGTTACTTCTACTGCAGATGGTATAAATAGCTCACTTACATTCTTGGCCTATTTACCAACTTCACAAGAATAGAATTCTTCCTCTAATCAGTAGTTTTGTTTACTTCATATGTTAGCCTTACATTCTATATGTCTGAACTAAATCATAGTGTCCTTTTAAATCACTAATTCATGTGCATCTTGCCTCATCATCTCAGAGACATCTGGTGCTATAAGAAAAACAGGTGGCGACTTCAAGGAAAAATTCAGAGAGCTAGGAGGGCTTGATGCTGTCTTTGAAGTTGTCAAGGATTGCCATTCCAATATGGAGGTGTGAGCCTGTATGTTATTTGGGATCTCATTACTGTTTCAATATACAGATCTGCAGTAGCTACAATGTGGGAAGGGAAATTTGGAGATCCTTGCTGGTTTCTTTTTTGGGGAAAATTATAAATTGCAGTTTTTGTGATGAGGTGAAGGTGTAAAATAAAAAACCTTAATGATTTTAGATTTGGTCTGTGATTTCTCTTTTTTCCTTAAAAAGGAACAAAAACTTTTCATTGAAGAAGGGAGCAGTCTCTAAATAAAAATAACCTCCTTAAACTTTTTTATGAAAATTACGAAAAGTTTCATTGAAGAAGGGAGTAATATGCTGCAAGATTTTTGAACTTTCTCTTGTCATATTTTGGATGGTACATGGTCCTCCCAAATAACCCCATGTCTCTCCTATCTAGTGTTCTTAGATCTCATCCTTTTAAAAAGGAGAAAAAGATTCTTTGGATGAACTTCATTAGAGCTTTCTTTTGAGTTACTTGGCAAGAAAGAAATTAAAGAATCTTCAAAGATAATGAGCTATTGTACAACCGTTTTTTTGATGCTATAGTTGAGTTGGTTTTCACTTGGTGTAAATACTCTTCCCTTTTCCACTACTATATCTATTCTTCTCTAATCTCTATTATCAAGTTTTTTGTAACTCCTTTGGATTGGGGTTAGCTCCTCTTTTTGTAATTTCATATATCAATGAAATTGTTTCTTATAATATTTTTTTTTGTTTCTTAATTTAAGAAAGACTCCGTTTGAATAAATTACGAAGGGAGAACAATTACAAAAGAGAATTTGAAAGTGAACGCCAACCTGAGCAATCAAATTTAGACAAAACTAATAAATAAATTCACCCCATTCCCTTTCCATATTATATTTATTTACGAGCATTCCTTTCCAACCATAAACTGCAAATGTGTTAGCTTTAATTGCATTCATTCACAAACCTTTCCTTTCTTTCTGAATGTAGTGCCACAGAGTAATTGAATTTGATTTTTCTTTGCTGTTTTTGCGAATACCTAGGAACAATTAAATAATTGATTGCAGAATAGAACGCCAACATGTAGGCTATGTGACACAAAAACAGATGTCCTTGACTTTCCTCTGCCTTCTTGAAAAGAATGCACCAGTGTATTTGCTTGGAAAAATGAAATGAGAAATGATACTGGTATTACTATTAGTAAGTGTGCTGGCATGTTCCCTTTAATGTTAGAAAAATAACCCTTAAAAAAGGAAAAGAAGGAATGTAATTTTATGCATTTTGCTTTAGTGGTATTTTTTTTGCCTTTCAATTTTTAATATATATGCGACAAAATGAGCAAATGGGCACCTACTCCTTCCCTACCTGAAGGTTGAAACCCTCGCAATTTGTTGTACTACAAAAAAAATCCAATATATATGTAGAACTGTGGTAGTCATTGGTATCTTAATGTACTATGATTTGAATGTTCAAATGTTAGTGGCCATACCATTAGTTGTGGCCCATGGTTTTAACAGGTGTGCTACCAAATGGTATAGAACTGTTTCCATTTTATTTCAATGAAAAACATTCAATTCTTTTTGTCATGATAAGCATATGAATTATAGCTCCATTTCTTGGTATATGATGATTTTTTAATTCTCTTTAATACATGAGAATATCCATTTTAAATCAAATATTTGTGGTAGATGAGGAGATTGTATTTTGGACACATATTTCAGGGTCGTGTAGAGCGTGTTTCACTGTCTACACAAGATGCCAGATGTGAAAACTTTTTGCAGAGCCTGATGCTACTTTTGAAGTGCTTAAAGATAATGGAAAATGCCACATTCCTTAGCAAAGATAATCAGGTATGCAGAAAAGTAGTCTCTCCCTCTCTCTCCATATAATCAAATACACATTGTTCTTAGGATTTCCTTTCATTTTTTTTCTTAATTTATAATGACAGAGTCATTTGCTTGCAATTAAAAGAAACTTAGAGGATCGAGGGACCCCACAATCTTTCACGGAAATCATATTAAATGTCATCAAGATCCTCTCAGGTAACTTATAACTCAAGGGTTTTCTTTTGAACCTCATCTAATATGATGTTTTTCTTAGTCATTTATTGGCATTTCATTGTAGGTCTCTTTTTACGCAAAAGTTCTGCTGCTGTTTTAAATAATGAGAATTCTGCCCATCTCCTTGACGGGTCTTGTCATACATCTAAAGTGTTTGTGGAGGCCGATGGTGGAGGTAATGGTTTTCCAATCTGTCCATTCTGTCTTTGTATCTCATAGCAGAGTATCTTATGGTTGAACAATAACGTGAGGAGTGCTTTCTAGGCGCAGCATCTTATTCTCCATCAGTGTCTTTTACATGTAATCTCTCTTAAATTTGCAGCAAACAGAAAGATAACTCTATCAAGCGGTAATTCAAAGATGTTGTGCAACACCAAGAGTTCTTTATCTGACAAGAGCTCCATTATATCCCAAAACATGAGGATTGCCACTGCTAGGTTAGACAGTTCTTTAACTTCTGGAACTACTGGCACATCATTGGCAAATAGCAATTTATCCAAGATGAGACAAAGATCTTCCACATCTGGTTCATCAAGTGTAACGTCAAGTGGAGCAATTACATTAAATAATCAACATGTGGGGAAAATTAATGATCTTGACTTTACAGAAGGTGGTGAGCTTAGCTTTTTGGAGGACCAGGATCCTTTTGCTTTTGATGAGGGTGATTTTGAACCCTCTAAATGGGAGTTACTTTCGCAGAAAGAGAAGAAATCTCGGGCTAGAAAAGAGGTTGTCAAATTTAGAGATTTTGAGAATGGATTTAAATCTCAGATGATGTTTGGTGAGAAAGAATCAATGATACGAAGTCATCACTCCAATGAAATTTCATGCTTAACATCCCCGAATGAGGAGGGATTCATTCTAGTGGCTGACTGCCTTCTTGCTTCTATCAAGGTTTACTTATATTATTTGAACTTTCCTTTAACATTTTATATGCTTACCAGTATTCATTCTCCTTGAGTTTTTGAATGTTAAAGTTTACGGTAAATATCGAGTTGAATACCCTCCTATTTGAATAACCAGCAGTCCTTCAATGACCTTTTTTTCCCCCAGGTTTTGATGAACTTGACCAATGACAATCATGTTGGCTGTCAACAAATTGCTTCCTGTGGAGGATTAGAAACTATGTGTTCACTGATTGCCAATCATTTTCCTTCATTTTGCCCTACTTCATCCACCTTTAATGACTTAAAAGTACATACATTAACTCTCGGATTTGAGCTTCAAAATGACAAGCATCTAACCGATCAAGAGCTTGATTTTCTTGTTGCAATTTTGGGCCTGCTCGTGAACTTGGTGGAGAAGGATGGTCATAACAGGTCTGTGTTACTTCAGTTTTTAATACATCCTTTAGAATTATTTCCTGAGGGACAGTTACTAGAAAGATCACATGATTATTATTTATTAAATAATCCAATGGATGGAATTGTTGCTGTAGAAAATGGAAATTACAGTGTTGTACTGACAAAAATAACCATTGCAGATCACGGCTTGCTTCAGCTACTGTTTTGATACCTAGCTTACATGGACTAGTAAAGAGTCATAGCAACGTAATTCCACTAATATGTTCCATCTTTCTGGCCAACCAAGGAGCAAGCGATGGAGTTGAGGAAGGGCAATCTTCGCCATTGGTTAGTACTATTATTACCGATTGCTTTTCTGTTTGTTTGTTAATGAGGGTGTGCAATAGTCCTGCCAACCTGAAAAATACAATCCTAACTCAAGATTCAAGTTGGGTTGTGTTGATAAGTCTTTTAGGTGGTTTGGATTCAAGTAAATTAAAGCTATTTGTGTTGGGTGGTTATATTGTGGTTCTTTTCATTAATTAAAAAAGAAAAGAAAACCTTTTATTTGAATTTGGATTTTATCTTCTCTACAAGTTTTACTGACCAATTTAGTCTTTAAAATATTTTCTTTTTGAAATAAAATGCGCATCATACTATCAATTATTTTTAACACGTTCTTAAAACCCAACCCAATTTTTACATGTTGGGTTGGAGAAATTTACAACCTGAACGCTTCTGGTGGTGTCTGAAATTTCACTCAAACTCAACCCAATCGAACTGATGAAGACTCCTATTTGTGGATGTTGCTCTTTTCTGAAAAAAATATTAAATGAATACCAAAAAGATCTTGATCCTATGGTGCCAATGCTTACCCGCATGTCTTTATGGTCCCGTGGAATGCAAGTCTTGCAGTGACATAGTCATAAAAGGATATGCTTCCATGTTAATAATTTTGGATTTTACATACGATAATACCATACCAAGCTATACATTTGTGACCTTGAGCAGAATGAGGAGGTAGCTGTTCTGGAAGGTGAAAAGGAAGCAGAAAAAATGATTGTTGAGGCTTATGCAGCGCTACTTCTAGCATTTCTTTCAACTGAGAGGTTAGCACCTTTGTGTAATGATTGATATAAATGAACTAAGTTTTCTTATGATTTTGTTTAAGGGATTGTCTCTCTGTTTTCAGCCAGGGCATACGTGATGCCATTGTCGACTGTCTTCCAGGTCACAACCTAGCAATTCTTGTGCCAGTTTTGGAGCGATTCGTGGTATGTATATTTATTTATTTTGACTTGCCATTCCTAATAGTAAAACATGAACTACTCCCAATTTTTTTTTATTGCATGTCCATCCATTTTACGAACTAACAAGGCTTCAACAAGTGTAATGTAACTGTGTAATATGACTAAATATTCTTGTGCCGGTAATATAGTTTCTTCTTCTTGTTCAGGCATTTCACTTGACATTGAACATGATTTCCCCTGAGACGCATAAAGCTGTAACCGAAGTGATCGAATCATGTAGAAACTCCTGATAATTGAAGCATGGAGATCCTGTAAATTCTTAACCCTCCTTAGCCGGATTGCTTATCTTTAATTGATACCATAGAAATAGAAAGCTGCAACATACTGAAGAAACCAGCGGGCTCATCGCTTATGTTGTTGTCTGATTGACCATTGTTCTGTACCTTTTTTCCACCAGTCAGGGTTTTCTTCCTTCATAAAAATTTTCTCAAGAGTTCTATCTCCACCCATATTGAGTTCTGGATTTCTTCTTCTTTTTCTTCTTTTTGGTAGCCTTTCTTATCTCTACTATTTTCTTCTCCTTTTCGTTTACACAACCATTGTAGTGCATGGTAAGATGCTTGTATACGAAAACTATAGTGGAATGAAATCATTATTCATTTTCGAGTTTGTAATTTATATAACCCATTTCTTCCTTCATTGGTATCTTTGTGTTGATCTTACGTTTTTCGATTTCTAACGTTTCTCGAAATTGATTTATGACCATTTCACAGGCACATTACTCCCAACAATATTTTGAAACTTGGTTTGATATTGTCAACTAACATAGCATGTCATTAACAATATGGATTTGGAAAAAATAAAAACTTGTAATCAGATATGATGATTACTTAAAAAGGCAATGAGAAGGTGATTGAGTTGAGCTGGAAACTGCTCCTGCATGAAATGAGTTCCATCGGCCAAGTCCGCAACCTCCAAATCTGCCACAAACTCCCTCATTTTCTCACTCTTTATATAGTCTTCAATCCCTGGAAATTTCAGAAAATAGTCCTTTCGACCAATGATCAACAGAACTGGAACTTCAACCTTCGGATTGGTAATGCCCAACTCTTTATGTTTTCTCCTAAAATTCAGTCAAATTTTCTCTGTTTTCAGTTCCTTGCTTTCTTTTCCTCACTGCGTCAAAATTTTCAAGGAAAAAAAGGGAGAAACTGCATACCTGTAAGGAACTTGCAACGTAGATTGAAACCCAGAATTTTGATATGCAGTTGCATATGCGGCGAGATCTTCCTCGTTCAGCCATGGCGGCAGCGGGGTAGATTCGTCCACCATATCCATAATCTCTTGATCTTTCTCAGCGATGGGAATTTCACTTCTGGCGAAGAGAGTGTAGATTCTTCTCAGTACAGTCTTCACATCAAATCTTCCGAAGTCCGCCTCAGCTCTCCCAGTTTCCTGAAGAAAAATAAAAGGAATCATTTCGATTGCATTTTGTAATCTGGACGAAGAGAAGGGCGGGAAACTGAAAGTACCTTCCACCGGTAAATGTAGAAATCCTCAGGAAGATTTTGGTAACGTTTTGGATCCGGCGCAAAGAAGGGGACACCGAGAGACACAATTCCGGCGACCCTCGCCGGAAAGATGAGAGAAAACAAGTAAACAACCCAAGACCCGAAATCCTTTCCGACGAGAAAAGCCTTTGGAATGTGAAGAAAATCGAGGATTGCCAGAGTGTCTTGAACAAAGTCATCAAACGATGCGTTTTGAGGTTGTGGGTGAGGGTCTGAAAATCCGTAGCCCCTTAAATCGGGAGAAATTGCACGATAGCCGGCGGCCGCCGCCGCAACCATCTGATGCCGCCACGAGTACCATATCTCCGGGAAACCATGAACGAACACAACGACGGTTGAGCCTGTA